TGGTGCTACGATAGCTCTGGTCATTTCTAGAGGGATGGACCTAGAAGGTGCTGCTGGGGGGACTTCTGATTGACATTACGGTACTAGCCTCTCTTGCACTTCACTTTGACGCTGATGCGAACTTGTACCGACAAACCCAACATTAAAAGAAACCTTAACAACAACTGCACCACCACCACCACCAAATTTGCCCCAGATAAATTCTGGGAAAAGTTGCAAGCACGGGCAGCATAGAAGAGACAGAGAGATACACAAGGGCTAGATATCTTCAATCACAGTCAACACTGCCAGCTATGTCAGCTTAATACCTGAAATTTGAAGAACTTTCTGAAGTACATCTTCTCACCTGTCTGTGTGGTGTAGCTTACCGCACACACTAAGCTGAAAGAGACAAATGATTCAGTGGGGTTTAACTACTTTTCAGTCTTGCTTGTGTTTCCAGGTTGGGAGGAGAATGGGGAAATGGAGCAAATGATGCAAATTTGCAATTCATCTCCTTCAGATTTCTGAACACATTTGGTAATTATTATTTTTTTAACAGAATGGGAAAAACTAAATTAAGTTTACAGATGGTTTTAGACTACCAGAAACATTTCTGTTAATGCAAGGCACCATTCCCCACGGGACCAACTGCAGCTCTCTGTGCCATATCCTATACTGTTCCAGGAGTTCCCCATATCTTTCGAAAGGCTTTTTTGGAGTGTGGGAGACACATTGGGAAGGAGGGATTGGCAACAAGCAGGTGTCCTGCCTTTGGCAAGCTACCTTTAGATACAACCCTATGAATTGGGGGGGAAGTATAATGTGTCTTACATGTGCGTTCCTATTTCCTTTACTTCATGGTGTATTACATCATCGATACAACAGTCTTGTTTGAGTTCTGCCACTGCAGCACTAGAGGCTGAAAGGTTTAAACGCTGCGAACTTGTCTGTAGATCAGCCTTGGAATTAAGAACAAAAAACTCTTCAATAAAAGAGAGGTTGAATTTTATTATTGAAAATAGTTTTTCATTGCTTTAACTGGTTTTACATTCCATCCTCCCCAAGGCATTCATTAAAAATCTGGACACAGTCCACTGAGAAGATGTGATGCCTGAGCATCCCAAAAGCTTAACATGTACTCATAATGTTCTCTTGTACGATTGTGGTTGTACAGTAGAACTTTCTATTGGAATATACTTGGAGAGGGTAAGAAAAGTGCAGAACAAACCTACTTTCAGACTGCCTCAAAAATATATAGCAAGCAAAAAGAATATGCCTTTTACAATTTACCCTGTTACCTTTAGATACACCCCCATTGTTTTTGTTCAAAGTTTCCTTCAACTAGAAAAATGTTAACTGATTAATTACCTTAAAAACACACTTAAAACTACTTGATAAGATCAAACATACCTTTACCAAAATATCTTTTACCACTTGGTGACTGTCATTATGTACACTGATGTAGCTGGAAAATGTCTCTCCTAAGAATATATTTCTGTTCAAGAAGGGAGGAGAAAAGAGAACTGTTAAAACCATTGCTTTGAATACATCTCTAAAATCTATTATTGCCCACTTTTAACAATTGTACCAAGAAAGCCATATTTATAGTTCCGTTTTTGCATCTTCTAGCATTGATGATATTGCATGCACATGGCTCAAAACCTCTGAAGACAATCTTATGGTTTCAGTACTTAACATAGTGCCTAAGCACAGCAGAGTGTTGACAAGAACAAACAAAATTAAAATAAGTAAGCTAGTCTGAGCTAACTAAGGCACACCGCATGGATGTGTATATGAGTATGTTGTGTAGATTTTAAAAGGGAATTAGGCAGATTCATGTGTGGAAGATAAGGATAACATGATGGCTATATGACACCTCCAGGTTCATAGGCAATGCCACTGTCTGGGGAATCAAGAGTGGGAAAGAAGTACTGTCCTTACATTCTGCTTGCAGGCTTTCCATAGCTATCTGATCGGTCACTGTAGGAAAGGGGATGGTGGACTAAATAGCTTTAGTCAAAAGCAGAAGGGCTGTTCTTATATTCAAAATCAGGGTCTGGTAGTTGCTAGCTTTACTTTTAACTCACCAAATCTGTTTAACAGTAAAGATCTCTTCATGCTTCATCCAATGACTGTTTACTCAGAGGTACCACTGATTCAAAGTTAGAAACCATAATAGATGGCTTCCTAACCCTGTAACGCAAGAGGCCCTTGGAAACAGTTTGTGGCAGGAGGAAATTAAGAATAATAATAGACTTTATCCATAGGAAGAACAAGGAAGATAGGTTGCTGACCCCTGCTCTTAGGACTGTGGCCTAAGCCTATTTCAGCTGTGGGCCGGTCCACCGTCCCTCAGACCATGTGGTGGGCCGGATTATATTGGGGGGGGGGGAATGAACAAATTCCTATGCCCCACAAATAACTCAGAGATGCATTTTAAATAAAAGCACACATTCTACTCATGTAAAAACACACTGATTCCCAGACCATCCGCAGGCCGGATTGAGAAGGCGATTGGGTCGCATCCGGCCCACGGACCTTGGGTTGCCTACCCCTGCCTAAGAGCATTCTAAGTTGGAAGCAAGTACAACAGAAACTGCTGGTATTTACAATATTAGGACAGTTCTGCACAGGACTAAAGATCATAAAACAATTATCTCAACAAATCTACACATCTATATACAATTCTTACCCAAAATTCTGAGGCAAAGTCAACATTTCCCCAAGCATTAATGTTTCTGCTCCTTTTACTGTGGAAGGATCATCTTTCATTAACTGGTTAAACAGATCTCCTGCAGTAATATAAAATTATATGTCAGGTCAACTATATTGATATTTCTATATAAACTAATTAAATATTTTAATTGATTAGCCACTGGCTTTTAACTTATTTTAATATATTTTCAACTGAACATACGATTGAAAATACATGTGGAGTGGCATTCCTGTTAGAAGGAAAGGACATTTAATCTTTTTGCCATACTAAATGGGAGAGTTCTAAACAAACAAGTCTAAGCAGTTTTGTAATATGTATAAACAGCGGTTTAAACAGACTTTTTATAGTTCTGTGAACTTTATTGTTTCTTTTTTAAAAAACCCAAAAAAACCTTCAACAGTAATTTATCGGCTATCTTTGGAAGGAAAAGCAACCCAGAAACTTCTTGGCAAACGTTGGCTCCAGTTCTCATGAATTCTTGCAAGACCTGCTAGCTGAGATCTTCTGATTTTTATTGTTGTTTTGAAAGGCTATGATTTCATGTATTTGTCTCTCAGTTCTATGGGGTGTTGCAGGGAAAGCATTCCACGTGGGCATACATGGCAATAAATGAAACAATGACAAAAAAAGGAAAAGACATTTTAAGTTTCTGTACTCTGGTTTGAAAAAGAAGGGATCTGAAATGTCCATGTGCTCCGCATAGTGGCGAACTTCAATCATTCCACATTGCTGAGTTTTTAGCTTGCTAGGACTGTACTAACACACCCACACACCCACAATGCTGATGACTGGGGACTTGGGTGGGATGGTGCATAAGTGTGTTCCTACAGGCCTCTGCCAATGGAGAGATACATGCAATAACCTGCACATTGTTAGCAGAAAAGTTTCCTATAGAACCCAGGTTTCATCAAGTATCGCAATTGCGCTGGTTCACACATAGGCAAACTACTGGTCATAATCCCTGAGCTTTAACTTAACTACAATATTTGACACTGGTGTTGTTCAGGAACACTCCACACATTCAAGTACAGTATTTTCAGGTACGTGCTGGCTTAGCAACTAACAACAATGTGGCTCTATATGCAGATCTACCAGAGTTTATTATTTAACACCATAAAAAAATTTACCTGGCAAGTCTCTCTCTTCACAGGTCACAGGAATATTGGTGAACAAAGTAGGTTTGGTCAACCTCATTACTGTGAATTTAGAAAACAAATTCCACATTAATCACACACTTCATCACCAGGACTTCACTAGAAGCTCAACATATTTAACTTCAAAATAAGAACCATAAGACCTGTTTGGATAGTACCTTGTCCCTGGAATTCTGCCCAAGTTTTATGTATTTTGTTTGTTTGTACTGAGCACAAGAAAAGGAGATGAAATTGGGCTTAATGTGAAAACAACTAGAAATGCAGGAAGTGTTCATTCACACTGATACTTGAGCAAAGACAAAAAGCATGCATATCCTTTTTTTTTTAAATCCCACCAATAATATTTTTTTAAAAAATGTTTTAGGATAATCATGGATAACTACAAAAATCATTTTAACAAAACACAATACTCATAACCGCAATGATCCTTATCCAACCATGTTGAGAGTACCATTTGTAAGCAGTTGTTTGGTCCAAAGGATAGTTGACTCCCCCTAAGGCAGACGGGGGGGGGGGGGAGGTTTCCAGTCAACCAATGCTTTCCCCATTCATTCAAATGTAGATATTAAGGCTGGACCAGGCTCTGCAAACTATTGACCGTAGACCCTCCAAGTATCCCTATTTTCCAGGGACAGTCCTGGATTTACAGAAGCTGTTCCAATTTTTGATTTGATCCCAAAATGTCCTGCTTTTCCTTAGTATGCCCCAACTTTCATCAGAGAAACATTGGAGGGTATGGAGTTATCCAACCCCTGAAGATTTTTAATGTTTAAAGTTTTATTGTGTTTTTATATACCGTATGTTGGAAGCAGCCCACAGTTGCTGGGGCAACCCAGTCAGATGCTGAGGTATAAAAAGAAGAAGAAAGAATAGGACATTCCTATTTTCATCGAAGAAATGTTGGAGGGTATGTGATTGCAATAGAATTTGCTTACAAATGACCATGTTTAGATGGCATACATTTTCTAAGGGCTAAGAACACAAAGAAGTCTTGCCTCAGTACAGAACATAATGGCCAGTAGGACAACATTCTGCCCACTGCCGATGTGACTACAATCTATAGGAAGCAAAAATGTAGGACAAACACACAAAAAGGGAAACAAATATATCAGCATGATGGACTTCATAAAATTGAAGTTTAGAAATTATTACTCCAACACAGCAGCCTTTCTTTTTATTGTTCATTAATTTTAGACAAATCATTCCAAACAAATGTGGAAGGTCATTTCATTCATTGCGTCAGGCTTACAAGGGGCATTCATTTTACAAGGGACATCTTCTTAAGTAGTCACAGACTTTTTGAGAACTTAAAACAAAGCATAATCCAATCTTGTAGAGATCAGTTTGCTTGAGATGTCCTGCTTTTTCCTCTAATTTTCAATGAATCTATACTCTGAAAAAAGTCAATCCTCTAATCAAAGGGTACATATATAGAGAACATGACTTACTATAGCTCAGAAGCATGAGTTCTTTTTACGTGAGCAAAGAAATATACAAGGAGGGCTTCTAATTTAAATAAAACGGAAAATGTCCAGGATAAGCTAATTACTCCCCTTCTGCCCCCCCACAGATTTTTTTCAAAAACATTGTAAGGCAACAAAGTGTATTTAAAATATAACATTTCACAGAAAGCCTTGTTATAAAGCTACAGACTATGTATGATTCCATATTTGTGAACAAACAAATTTATTTTCCCCAAAAGGTTTAATTTTTCTCTAAGGTTGTTGGCAACATATTCACAGTATAGTATGTCACAAAAAACTGAAATCTGCCCTTCACATCTCTGGATCGTAGCATTACAAGACGGCAGTTCATTGTGTTTGATCATCTTGTTGAGCTTTACCCAAATGTCCTCCAATGTTTGACTACCAAATGTAGATGGTTCAATTATCCACTGGGCTCTATAGAATGCATGGAGCTTTAATTTGTCTAAAGTGCTCTGCAGTTCTCTAGATAAAGGAAGAATCCTGTCTTTGAGCTTGGCGTTGGGAAGAGACACACTCCAAGACCTTCTCAGCTTCTGATTGCTGCTTGCTGTTTGCTTTTCCAAATTGCTAAAATTGTTTCTTTCATGCTCAGCTTGCAAACACTTCCCAGCTTTTACATCAGGATGAAATTCCTTAAGCCCTGCTGTACAGTCATAAGATGGGGAGCTGCAAGCCGTTTCTATGGCTGCAATATGTTGTTTCATTTGCTCTACTTCTTCACCAGAAATAACTGGAGCGATTCTTTTAGGTTTAAGGGGAAGTTGACGCAAGTCATTTGGAAACCAGGGTATGAAACTTGGGAGCTTCCTAACAGGAAATTCTTTCAGTGCCTCTTCTGCGATTCTTTGCAATGCTGCAGGGTCCCTTTGCCACGCTCGATAGTGCAGAATCACCTCCATGCTTGTACAACAGGAATCCACATGTTCTTATTTTAAATGTTTCTTGGACAGCAGCTTCATCACTAATGATATAATCACTTAAAAGAATCTTTTCATGCCATGTGCTGTGCAGTTCAGAAGAAAACAGGACCTAGAGCAGAAGTATTGCAAGTAATAAGACACGCTAGCAGTTTCCCCACTAAAATTCACCATCATGTTGACGCAGTTATTGCTAGAAAATGCTGTAGCAAGTGTAACGGGCTGCAAACGTATGCAGTTGGAAAACCAAAACACAACAGCACCCCCTCGGACTTATAATTTTTTTGTTTCTGTCAGACATCTGGGTTTGCTGCAACTGCTAATTCAAACCAGAATGCTACGTAAGTTTCTCCAATACAGAAATTAAACAAGTGAGATGGCCCTTCTGTAAGGGAACTGTGATACAGCACCAAATTTCTGAACTTCTGTGAGTGCCAAACAAACATGTTGCCTTAAACATATATCACGGCATTGCATAACTGTTTCCTTCCAACAATCCCAATTGTGGAATGCCCTCCCCTCACAGACTCAGCTGATGCCAACGCTGATCGGTTTTATGCATTGTGTAGACATCCCTATCTGAGCAAGCATTTTGCTGGACTGGATATGTTTTCTCATCCTCATGGTGTTGTGATATAAATCAGATTTATTGTTGTACTGGTTTGCTTTTTCAGATTGTTTATTTTTATTGCTAAACAAATAAATAGCAGTCACAGAAGGGGGAGAATCAGGAACAGGGGCTGCAGTGCGTGGAGGGTTAACCCTTTTACTTCCATACTGTGGCCCTGATGACAATTTCTTCGCATACTGTTTGTCACAGGCAGGAAGCTTTCATGCAGCAGTAGTAGCTGTTGCTTATGACTCCTAAGAAGAAGGAAGGATAGCGGAGTTGGAATGTTACTATAGTAGGATAATAATTGAAAAAAGAGGAAGAGAAGCTGGGAGGACTGAAATTATTCATGTTCATGGTAACATCTGAAGTGTATGCATGCACATGGGGTCACAATTTTAGACTGGGTAGTGTTCCAAGTACTGTCTATGCTATTTGTGTTGTCACAGAGGAAAGTTCTCTCAGCCTTAGAAGCAGGAAGGCAAAAAATGTTTTAAAAGAGATCCCAGGAAGGATGCCCCAATGACAACCATTCTTCCACAAATCTGCATCTTTGGGTCCTTACTTTGAAAGTCCTCTTTTTCTTGCTTGCTCTGCAATTCTTTAGAGCATCTGCTCCACACTGTGTACGTACTTTCTCTATTTAGTGTTCCTTGCTGGCAACTACAGAAACATATATTGCCATGAAATGCCTTTAAAGCATTTCTGCCTACAGAAGTGTATTGGGATTGTGCTTTGTGATGTTCATACACTCCACATCCCCATAAGGAAATTATTTCAAAAGAGTTGCCTTTTTCAACAACTCACTATTTGTAAAAACAAAAAAAATTCCTTCCAGTAGCACCTTAAAGACCAACTAAGTTAGTTCTTGGTATGAGCTTTCGTGTGCATGCACACTTCTTCAGATACCTGAAGAAGGTATCTGAAGAAGTGTGCATGCACACGAAAGCTCATACCAAGAACTAACTTAGTTGGTCTTTAATGTGCTACTGGAAGGAATTTTTTTTGTTTTGACTATGGCAGACCAACACGGCTACCTATCTGTCACTATTTGTAAGAACTTGAAGGGATACTGGGACAGGAGATAGGAAGGGTTCTAATTTCAACAATTGCTTAGGTACTGGTCCCAATCAATGCACTCTCCACACATCTTTCACAGCTTTTCCAGTACTCTTAGTGGTCATTTTTTCTCAGCGGACTCTTTTCATGTGATAAACTCACACAACTGAGACTTCAAGGAAGCAGGTGAGAACTAGTTCCATTAATCTTGTTCTTCCATCTGAGGTTGCAGAAATGGGTTTGGTTTTTTCCTAAATAGCTTGTGTTGTGTTACAAAGAAAGGATATATATTGGAAGGATTAAGGGATTTCCTCTTTAGCAGCTGATTATATCTAAGGTTTGACAGATTTTAATTTTTTTTAGTTCAAGGAAATGTTCCATTTTCTGGGAGCTGACGATAACATAACAGGCACCCCCTTTTTCAAAGCTCACTTCTGGAGCAGCTGTATAATATTGAAGCCCCGCTTGCTTTAGAAATGTTTACACACCACCCATCTCTGAAAGCTTGTTCTGCACCAACATTGTCCCTCTTGATTCATAGCTGGGCAAGCGCAAGGAAGTCCTACCAACTGAAGATTTCGCAATGGATTTTGAGATGCAGTTCTTGTTTATACAAAACTGCACACACGAAAAAACACCCTACACCACTGACCATTTCCTAGGGAAGCGATGATGTCCTTCTCTTTTAAAAGAAATCTGAAAACGTTGGGAGATTCCCCCTCCTTGCACACTCTGGCTTGAACCAATGAGGCTGGATCACTTTCCGAGCTCTTTATTCAACAACGTGCCCTGGCAGGTGGAATAAGGAACCGACCTTTTGAAAAGGATACCCGACTTCTCCTGCAAATTAGCTTTGGGCCACCAACCTCCCGATCCCTCCCAGGTTTTAATTGCCTAAGACCCACCCGCTTTGGTCTCCTAAAAACAGCGGCCAAGGGAGCCGCCGCAAAAAGGAAGCGGGGCTGGATTCTCTGCTCCTCGTCCCTTGTAGGATTTGCTTTTCAGCTGCTCAGCCGCAGGCCCGAAGGAGCGGAGGAAGCGAGAGCGAGTACCTTTCAGGGCCAAGAGATGCTCCTGCTTGGGCTGGGTAACATCCATCGCCGCAGCCGCTCCCGGGCCTCTTCCTCCTTTACGGAATCAGCCGAGGCCAAACTTCCTCCGGCCGCGAACAAGAGCTTCTCTCCCCGGCTTTGGCCCGCTTCCTTCTCCCAGCTGTGCTCCTCGCAATGCAAGTCACCTCCGCAATCGAGCCAAAAACTACAATCCCCAGCGTGCTCTTTGGCTCGTCCGTATCGCCATAGGCGCCTCTGCTTGCTTTTATTTCGGGCGAGCTGCCAAAGTGATGCATGATGGGAGCTGTAGTCCTTTTATTTTTTACGTCCCTCGGCGCCGCTATCATGGCGGCCAATGGCAGAGTGTGAAACGGGGAGTGACAAGAAACGGACATGCGCAGTGCTTAGAAACCACAGACCGGGTATCGTTAAGATACGGGGGAAGCGACCTTGTGTGTGTGTGTTTTGACGTTTGTCTCCTTTACCCACGGCTCTCTTTGGTGACGTAGGCGCGTAACCCCGCCCCATCTCCAGGGGGACAGTCCGCTGTGGGAGCGGCGAAGGCAGCTTCTTCTTGGTCTTTCTCCTTCCTTCTCCAAGATGGCCGCGCTAGGTGTAAACAAGGTCGGGGCTAGTGCGGGGCTGGATGCCGGGAGCAGGCAGAGCCGGAGTCCGGCCGGGCCTGTGGTGAAGGTGAGCAGAGGGAGGCGGGGGGGGGGGGCTTCCAAGCCGCCTTGGCGGAGCCCCCTCGCCGTTCGCTGTCTTGGGTGGGGGCGGGAGGAAAGAGAGGGGGGAGCCCCCGCCCCCTTTGGGCTCCCGGGCTGTAGCGCCTTCATCTCCTGCAAGAGCCTTCACGTTCTGCGTTCGGCAACCCTCGTGTGTATTTACCCTCGTGTATTTACCCTGCGTTCGGCAACCCTCGTGTGTATTTACCCCCTCCCAGCTCCCCCTTCACATTACACACATACATACGTACACACACACACACACACACACACAGACATACACACACACACACACACACACACACACACACACAGATACACACACAAGCATACACACATATATAAACACACACACACACACACACCTGTATGCTACGTTGTTTGTTCTGTACTGTTTAAAGTAAGGGGTGTCCAGAGCGATTTACCATGCGTGCCAGATAGGTTTGAGAAATGAGGAGGTGGGACAAGGTAGGGGGAAATCACATGTAGGGTTCCAGCTTTTTTCTCCGGCAGGGTTCCAGCTTTTTGCATCTGTGCAGTAGGCGGTAATTAAGCAAGTGGAACATCTTAGGACATGAAGATGCAACTATGGCAAAGAAACAGAAAATGTGCTAAGTGCTGCTAAGTGCTGCTCACAATAGACCCATCTAAATTAATAGACATTACTAACTTTGATTTCCATGGGTCTGCTTTGAGTAGTTCTGCCTGTCATAGAGTTGTTGAAGGTATAAGGAAATGTTCCATTATAGGTGGCAAGAATATAGAGGGGCAGAACAGATGAAGAGGCGAAACTGGTACAGTAGGATTCCCATGCATTTGGGAACTGTGCAAACATTTGTTACAGAACTGGAAACATATTAAGTATCGTAAACAATATGGACGTTGTATCTTGATAGCCTTCTGTCTCATTTTGAAAATATTGCAGGGGTAGGACTAGATGGTCCTCGTGGTCCCTTCCAGCCCTACAGTCATATGATTCTATAATTCTTTGATGCAAAAAGGCATTATGTTCCTTCCACAAGAGTGTCTAGTGACCTTGGGTGGGTTATGATCATGAACATGAGATCCAGTTTGTGGCTATACTTCGTTTGGATGTTCTGCCATACAAAAAAATGTGCATAATGCAGATAGAATGATACTTAATAATCCTGGTCCAAAATGTATGGTTTCACCCTAAGGGTCAGCCTGACAGCTGAGTTCACAAACCCACACAAATGGGTTGTATTCTAGCTTGCCCACATATTATCTATGTTAGTTACAGTGGTGTGTTTGTATTTGCTATTTTAATACAGATATTTTAGATTATGGATTGTTATATTATTGATATATACTTGTTTAATTTGTAATTTTTGCATGCTGTCTTATTAAAAGTTTCTTTTTTAAAATTGGGATATAAATTTATTAAGTAAATAAATTAATTGGAATTTTTGCCGTTGTGGAATAAAAAATGTGATTTCTTATAAAGACCTTCTTAGAAAAATAGTTGTTACTTTCTTTGAAGTGCTATCTTAAGTTCAGTTACATGAAAGGTTCTCCCTCCTGTGTAGAAATACAACTATACCGAGACTAAGGCTGCAGTCCTATACCTCACTCAGTAGGACAGATGTGTGTAGTAAGGTAGTCTAGGGAATACAACATACCAACCACTAAGGAAGTGCTTTGGGTCATGGACTACAGTTTTTAGGATCCACTAATTATCTGGTAGTTCTTAGTATATAGAGCTAACCTGAAACTTTATCATAATGAGGTCTGACCTGAGAGACTGATGCGGCTGTCCTCATCCCCATGCATAGTGGCATCTGTTGGCTGCATCCAAATACACATAGTTAACCACTTAGGAACATATGAAGCTTGCTTATACCAAGTCAGAATATTGGTCTAAGTAAGTACTGCTGATGCTGACAGGCAGCGCCAGGACTTCCGGCACGAGTCCCAGGCCTACCTGGAGATACAGGGGATTGAACCTGGGACCTTTTTTGCATGGTCTTTACCGCTAACTTTTAGCTCTTCCCTAGTGCTTAAAAACTGAACGTATTCCCTTGTAAATTATAGGTTCTGGAATGTGGAGTCTGTGAAGATGTATTTTCACTGCAAGGAGACAAAGTTCCCAGACTGCTTTTGTGTGGTCATACAGTCTGTCATGACTGTCTCACTCGACTTCCTCTCCATGGCAGAGCAGTTCGGTGTCCCTTTGATCGGCAGGTTACTGAATTGGGTAAGCTGCTTAGAAATTGTTGAATTAAGAACATAAGAAAAGCCCTGCTGAGAAGACTAATGACCTGTGTAGGTCCACCATCCTGTTCTCAAATTGACTAACCCGATGCCTATGGGAGGCCCACAAGGAGGACACCAGTGCAGCAGCACTCTCCCCGCTAGTATCAATACACTACCTCTCATGCTGGAGGTAGCAGTCATTTTATATAGGTTTGCCAAATGGGCCAGTACAACAGACACACTTAGAATATATCTGCATAGCTTGAATATACTGAGGCAAACCACCACTTAAAAAACAAAACACTGACATTGGTTGCAAGGCAGTTCAGAAGTTTGACTTGTGCCCTTCAAAAGTTGCAGCAATGTGATGTGATGAAAAGAGCAATGTGCAGTATGAAAACGTATGGAAGATTTAATGTTTTAGGGGAAGGATTGTTGGAAAAATTGCTCTTGGGGAGACGGTGACCCCGCCCCCCCAGGACCTCTGAGCGTCTCCCGGTAGGCACGTCTCTGGAATGGCATGTCCTTTCATCTCCAGAGTGCCTCTCTGCGATACTTTTCATATGAAAAGTGCAGACAAGTCTTCTAGCATCCTACAGCAAGAAGAAAGAAACATCTGTAGATCTAAACTACATTTTATTTACATTCTATACAGACAATCCATAATCACGTCTGTGTTCTCTAAGCTCTGGCAGAACAACCTGTTGCATGCTGCAAAAGTGAAGGTACAGTACAAAAACACGCTCAGATGATAGAGATAAGAGAGTCTTCCATTTCCACACTCTTCTCAGACATCTCATGTAATTTATACTAATCACACTAGCAGCATCGGCTGCATAAAATTCCCAACAAGAATAACCTCATTTGAAGCATAATAGATTATCCAACCTATAATGTATTGAACACATTGAAATATACCTTAAAGTAAAACAAGTTTAGGATTTGCCTATAAGAACATTTACTTTTGAGAAGCCTTGGTTATGCATGAAAGCAAAAGTCAAAATCCAAATTTTTCCGCATCAACAAGGGTCTCTTCTAGAACTAACAGGGAAGAAACATAGGTATCTAGGAAGCTGCCTTACACCATGTCAGGCCAGAAGTCCTTCTAGCTCAGTATTGTCAACACTGACTAGGGTTTTGGACAGGGATCTTTCCCTACCTAGAGATGCCATTGAATCTACCATTGAACTATAGCACTTTCCTGTAGCCCCCGGCCACCAAGTGTGCAACATCATTCACTTAGAACTATTTCAAATTTTTATTTTATTTAATATGTGTGGTAGTCAACCAGTCATATTCAGAGTAGGCCCCCTGAAATCTGTGGATTTAGTCATGACTAACTTAAGTCCATTGATTTCAGTGAGTCTGCTCCGATATTACTTAGTTTGATACCACCCTATATTTCTAATCTTGGTCACATTATCGTAATATTTTAAACATTGCTTGTGAAGTTATCTCAGGACAGCTGTTTAGTGCTCAATGTCATAAGACAATAAAAATGGTAGCAAGATCAGACAGGTTCAGTCAAGCAAGGTTGTGTTTATAATGCAAAATAGTTCTATTATGTAGCATTAATTTGTATAATGCCATCTGTGTGCACGGAACTGCAAGGAGCAGCATAAGAAAAAGACTTGTCCCTGCCCTGAGGAGGTTACAGTCTAAATTTGAGCTGTAGGGAGAGACAAGGGTAATAGTGCATAAATATGTATACTTAAGGATTTGTTCTGGTTGAGCTGAGGGCTGTGAAAAGGGGGTGGTGGTGGTGAAGGATTTGAAGTAGGGAAGAGTGGCATCAGGTAGGGGGCAACACTGCAGAAAGAGCTGATTTGTTTAAGAGAGCAGACATTTTCTTTTAAACACAAATACTAGCTCCGTTTGTACAAGCCAACTCAGATCCCTATTAAGTTAGGGTGCAGTGACCCAAAACAAAACCTTTGAAGACAAAAGTGCCCATCAAGGCACCATTAAATGTGCTTAATGAAACAGTGTGTGGCTCAGCCTTCATAAGCCTTACTCCTTGTAGTATCTTACAATTAAGCTGAACAACCTGAATATGTTTGTGCCTCAGTCCTAGGGAGAAATCTGGGAAGAAATCTTTGCCACACCTTTCATTTTCTCTCCCCTACTCACCGCTCAAATATTGAGTGATTGGGGGAAAGCAATTTGCCGCTTTCCCCCTTTCCTGTTTGTAGAACTTGTAAGAATTCCTTCCATGATTTCTCAGTCTTCACTTTGCATCCATCCCCTTCCAAAGGATACACAGTTCAGTTATTTGAACTAGGATTTGACTTTCTGCGAATGATTACACATTCCCATCAACAGCACTAAGGGACCTTCATCATGGAGGTGCATTAAATAGTTTTTTCACTTTTTGCCAATCACTGTAAAGAGACTGCTAGTAACTTCTCTGAATTTTCCTCCTTTCGGTGGTGGGAGAGTTTGGAAAGGGGCTGAAAAGCTAAGCTATGGAAGAGAGAACAGCCTGGGCAGTATGTTAAAATAAACACAAGACCCAGTATGCACGTGATTAACACTAAATGAGCACCGCTACTCAATAATCCTCCCCGCACCCCTTCCTGTACTTGTGTGCGGGACAATCACAGCTATCCTTTTCGAGTTTTGGTCTGGTTTCTTGGGCAGGAGAACTCTTCTTAATATCTGTTGCTGAAAAGTGTGTGTTCTGGCTCTGATGTCCTCAGTCACTGATGAATCAAAGAGGAATGTTTGCCCATTTCGTGACTGGTGTACCGTAATCAATGGGCTCAGTATTCACTCCATGATTGCCCACATAATGCAGTCTTGTTTCTGATATGCAGGCTCCCTGCTATTCAAGCTTCATGCCTTTTCTAAGGAAAGGCTGCCAAAAGCTGTAGGTTTGTTGTTGTTTAGAATGTTCCATAGATTTCATGAAATAGGCATATCTATAAAATTATGTAACCTGCACATATGGTATATGTCAAGTAAATATTTTTTTTAGTGAGGAACCTGGCAGTTAGCACTTTGAATAGTTCCTACATTAGCTGAACTAAATTTGGACAGGCTTAATCAAAACCACCATTTGTTTTGAAGTACTGTACTGGAATCCATCCATGAAAATATATACATGTGAAAAGGTAAAAAACCCAGCTGTCCATCAAGTATTTATCCTAATCTCTTAACAATATTTGGGTGGGTTAATTATAAGTTGAAGCCAACAGAGATAGAAGCAATTCGTACTGGGTCAGTACAAATTCGGTAGCACTAACATATTTAAAGGCTTGTTGTTAAAAATGAAAAGCACAATTCAGTGTTTTGTACCCTGTTGAGTTCTTCAGTGTGTCCCATTAAAATGAAAGAGCCCTAAGTTATTAACTTTAGACTACATGCAAAGGCTTCAGATCAAAGATCAATGAGTGAAAGGAAAAATATATTAGTGCTAATCTATGAAGTCTTCTGAAAGTTAGCAGAAAACTTCTCACACTGATGTTCCACAACCAAACATGGGGTTGCAGTAGGAGAAATATGGTGAATAAGGAAGATCCAGCATATAGTTTATAAAATCTAATGGACCATAAGATCTTGAGAGAGAGCTCGTGCAAACTGAAAAACTTCTCTGGCTATGGGATCACTTTTCAAAAGAATATTGTTTTTTCTGTCTTGATTTTTTTCTCTCCAAAACAGGAGATTCTGGTGTATGGGGTTTGAAAAAAAACTTTGCTTTGTTGGAACTCCTGGAACGACTTCAAAATGGGCTTGGTGGTCAGTGTGGGGCAACTGAAGAAGCCATTGGCCTCTCTGGAGAGGTAGTAGTAATCCATTTTGTATTTTGTTTTGTGTCACTTTCAGAGTAGTGTTCCCAATCACTTTATTATATTTCAGTTTGATTGTCCTTTTCAGATGTCATAAATGTTTGATTTTAATTCAGTGATTGCAACATTACTACATTAACAACTAAAAGACCTGTACCTAAATTACATGTTCAGGAGTATCTAGTGGTACAGATTCTCCTGGACTATATAATTTCATATTTGTACCTGCACTCTCAATGAGAACTGTCAAGTAACAGCTGTTCTATTCGATATTTCTGACTATATAGTTATTTCTAGAACATGTATGCTAGTTCCCTAGAGCAGGTATCTATAAAATTTTGTTTCATCGATTGGGCGATAATTGGGCAAGCATTGGGATTTTGATTTGTAGCCATAATAAGCTTTCAGCACTTTTATTCACCAAGGTGTTTGAAAATGTTTTACTGATTTAATTGTGTGCATTTTAGTCTGTTTTTCTTGTTAACGCTGTACAATGCCCTGGAATCTAATATGAAAAACATTTTTATGCGACCAGTCACCATGAGTAAATAATGTTCTAGTTTTTCTTTTTGTTAGTGCATTGTCCGCTGTGATGAAGATGAAACACATCTTGCTTCAGTATACTGCACTGTTTGTGCCACTCACCTGTGTGCAGAGTGTTCCCAACTCACACATTCCACGAAGACACTTGCAAAACACAGACGTGTGCCCCTTGCTGATAAACCTCATGAGAAGACCATGTGCTCTCAGCACCAAGTCCATGCTATTGAATTTGTGTGCCTGGAAGAAGGGTGTCAAGCCAGTCCTCTCATGTGTTGTGTCTGCAAAGAATATGGAAAGCATCAGGGTCATAAAGTAGGTTATGTCAATTCTTTATTGTCCAGCTATGTCATTGTTAATATGTGACTGAAAAGGAGAATTTATGTTGTTGCTTTTGCCCATTTGACAAACCATCAGACTATATTTTGTTCCCTCTCCTATTCTTTACATTACTTATTTGATAAAGGCAATGTTCCAGGGTATCATTAAGCTATCACTAAAGCTGCTTTCCTGCTGTCACCTAGGAGGGCTGCTAGACAATTTTGTGTTCGTATATTGATGTATAATACTGTTCAGCTAATGCTTATATTTAATTTTCCATCTCTTTTGAAACATAACTAGTCTTTACATACTTCTTGTTAAATAATAATAAAGTTTAAATATTTTAAATCTTACTATGATAAATTAAAGACCACAGCTTTTGAAAGATGATTCATGCAAAGGAGCATGCAAAGACTAGTTACCTTGTGCGCCTACATTTCTGCGCTAAGCACCTGAGGCAGAATGTTTTCTCTCTCTCATACTGTGTGGGGGCAGAATTTGTAGATGGGAAGAATTTGGAAATGGGTCTTCAGATTTACTTTTGATGCTTTCCCCTTAGCACAGTGTTTTGGAACCAGAAGCAAACCAGATCCGTGCTTCCATTTTAGACATGGCTCACTGTATAAGAACTTTCACAGAAGAAATATCAGATTATTCTCGGAAACTAGTTGGAATAGTTCAGCAGATAGAAGGAGGAGAACAGATAATTGAAGATGGAATTGGAATGGCTCATACAGAACATGTAAGCAAGCTTGTCATTTCCTCGACCTGCACGTAATCTTCATTATAACTATTGATATCTCCCCACCCCTTTACACTTTTTAAATGAAGCAGTATGCCATGTTATCCAGTATTAACATGACTCACAAAAGCTTTTTCAAGGCCACTTATCAAAAGTAAGTTGGTATGGGCAAGGGTAGAGGACCTTCTGGAAGGAGAAAATAGAGCCAAGAAGTCTGTTCTGTTAACTCACTAGTGGTAATGGACTATTTTGCAAAGCTGTTTTCCAGAAGAAAGCAGCCATGAAGAAGCAGAAATGATTGATTTTGGAATAATTATAGAGATGATAATGAAAAATACAGCTAGGATACAAAGTGCATGCCTAAGTACTTAGACTTACCTAGTAGGGTTTTTATTTACTGCATTGCCATATCACTAAATGATTTGGAAAGTTTTTCATTTTAAAAAATGGCTTACTATGTAGCATGGCAGGTAGCTACTGGTGAAATACAAATCTGACATTTCCTGGACACGTGGAACTTTGGTTTGTGGGTTTTTTATTCCAGTCTGTGTTTTTATTTCTTTTCAGAATCTCCTAATGCTGTTCCTAGCTGATTTGACTAGGACACCAACCTTAGTATTATGCAGAAATAGCAGTGTTGATTATACTGTATAAGGTTTTCTGTGGAAATGTCATGAATTAGATTAGCTTGCATATTTCATCTGTTGGTGATCAGGCTAATTTGAATGAAGATACATATTAGAATATACCTGGTACTTTTGTTACACTTTGCTTTAGATGTAGCGATTTGTGTGTGGTACATAATCCTGTATTCTAGAGCTACAATTTTGGCCCTCAGTTACTTCTAATTTGTGAATTTCACTTCTAAAAGCAATGAGTTAATAGGTTTACAGTCTTTTGCTAAGGCACGTGGCAAAAGTTTATTCAAAGGATAGATACTACTGGGAAAGTGGAAGAACCATAGTGTTAAGAGTAGTTCTAACAGTGAGCTATTAATATATATTATGGAGTACTGTGCCTCTTCTAGCTGGGTTGATTCAAAATAGGGAGTCAGCACTTCCAACTCATAGGAGAGCCAACAGAGATCACGAGATTTGAAAACATAAAATATTTTGGCAATACTTTTCACATTCATTTTTTAAATATTTTATTAATTTTCCAAAAACAACAAAAAATACATATTCAAACATAAAAAAAGAGTTGACTTCTCCCTATTCCTTTTCCTGGTTCCATTGTTTATCATAATACCACATGTCCATTTTAAATTGTAAAATCATTAAAATTACTTCTTTTCCAGTCATAATGTCTTTACAAGTATTTTTAAAATCCTGCTAATGTATTAGCCTGTGTATGTATGCAATAAAGTCCTTCCAATCTTCTTGCACTCCTTTAACATTCAAAACAGACTGACATTCTTCTTCTAGCTTTCCTCACAATAATGGAGGCTGGTAACATTTTAAAAACGAACACTAATTTCCCCAGAGAAATTAGTGTCTTATGTCTTACGTTAAGCAGTTTACTGGAAATTGGTGTGCCAGCCCATTGCAATGGAGAAGGATATTAAAGCTCTGTCTTAAAGAGGTCTTCAACAACGTAATGCCTGTCTCCTTGATTTCATAACCACCCAGGTCCCAGGTACTGCAGAGAATGCTCGTTCATGTGTACGAGCCTATTTTTCTGATCTTCATGAAACCCTCTGCCGCCAAGAAGAAATGGCACTTAGTGTGGTTGATGCCCATGTGCGGGAGAAATTGATCTGGCTTAGGCAACAGCAAGAAGATATGACTATTCTGTTGTCCCAGGTTTCAACAGCTTGCCTTCACTGTGAAAAGACATTGCAGCAGGTGAAGTATCCATAAAGTGGCCCTCTTCCATTTATATGTACTTTAGGTTGCTGACTCAGGTTGACAATGTCAGGTGGTTTATAAATAATTGTTCGGAAAATACTGTGTTAGGGATTTGCTTTTATTGGGTTAATTGTATGTGTAAGCCTAGTTATTCTAAAATTCTGCTTCTACAAATGGTGATTTGGGACACAGCAGTGGTTTGTAAAAGTTTCTCTGTTGTGGGAGGGAGAAGTATTGGATAACAACAGGGGGGAGATGGGAGGCAAAAGTGCTGTAACATCTGAGTCAAAGGATAGGTTTGAAATATAAAAGTTTAATGTAGTTGGTGATGCCTTTTTCTAGTGAAATGTTTGGGATCCACACTTTGGAGAAGTAGCTAGTTGTATAGAAATTAATGTAGAAGCCTATTACATAGTCACTTGAGCATTAACATAAAGATGTTCAGCTGCCTCTCGTGTACCAAACAAAATAAAACAAGAAAAGGAGCAATCGTGTGTGTTGATAGTAGCACCCATTTTTAATCCTAATTAGATTCTTTTTCCATCCAAGTCTTTATATTTGCCAGTGTTGTTTCAGTTGAATAAAACAGTAGCTTTCTTGTCTTGGTTCCTGTGTAGTGTTACTGTGTTTTCCTTAAGACAAACAAAAGCTTCTGTGAACAGCATGCATTCCTGTCTTCCATTTCTCCATTGTTGATGTATCATGAAACAATTTATTTCAGTTACAGTAGAGTTTTAAATCTGCTTGAGTTAAAGTTCAATTTTATATTTAGTAAAAAATGTAACTTTCTTTTTGGTAGACGTAACTTCTTGCTCAGCTGGATTTTGAGAAGGAAAACACATAGGTGGTACTTCGTTCATTGTATTAAATTTAGCTTCCTTTTTAAAGGATGACTGCAGAGTGGTCTTGGCCAAACAAGAAATTACAAGGCTTCTAGAAACACTACAAAAACAACAACAACAGTTTACCGAGCTTGCAGACCATATACAACTTGATGCTAGCATTCCAGTTACTTTTACAAAGGTACAGTTTTCTCATGTTTAGGTTGCTTCAAGACTTTGATCATGAATCCAGAAAGAAGTAAGAACTCTCTCTTTCTTTCTTTCTTTCTTTCTTTCTTTCTTTCTTTCTTTCCTCTCTCCCTCTTCTCCTCTGCCACCCCAAGTACAGCAAGAAACACTCAGGGCCAGCTGGCTTTTGAAACTCCCCAAATTACAAGTAATTTGCAGCACTGTGCAATCATATTTTGGATATATCTACATTTTTAAAAAAAGATAGACCCGAAGACTAGGGTGACTGTGTGGGAATGTTTTTCTTTTGTTTAACATCCTATAAGTCATGGTGACTGATGCCCTAATTCAAAGTGTTTTTGTTAAAATAGTATCTGCTAATGAAATGACCTTGAACCTTTTCAATTGTGCATGTTTTTGTTTAGTCAAACATATTATCTTGCAGATTGTCGGACTAAAATTGTAACCATTCTGTTCACAAAACCTTTAGTATCCTCAGCAAATAAAAACCCACAACTTACCAATGAGAGAAATTAATCATTTGGGGTAATATCCAGCATCATGCAAATGGTCTTCAGCTCACACAATGTGGCTTGCCCTTCTTTCTTCACCTCCCGCAGCTCCCCAAGCGCTGGATGTGCTACTTGGATTATTTTCTTTTGAACAGTTTATATTGTCATTTGCAAATCATTTAGATCTTCTTGGTTAAGTGAAATCTAACACTTGTTTAAAAACTAAATAAAAGTGTTGGCTTTCTACTTAGCTTTGGCTCACCCACAGAACCAGCGTCCTTTAAGATGAAACTTACGTGTCCTAAATGAGACACAGTGTCAGAAATTCAAAGCGCTCCATGTGTCCATCCAAATACACCTGCACAGGAAGTGATCAATTTCTTCTGACTACTGCTTCTCACACTACAATGGAAACGCCTGACATTGGGTGGTATTCAGCTAAATTTTACTCAGAGGAAACCCTCTGAAATTAATTAACACGACTAAATAATTTAAGTAGGTACACTCTGAGGAAAATATAGTTGATGGCCCATCAATACATATAAATTCATATACCCCTATGAATCGGAGCAGGAGTTTCTTCCATTACGACATTTAATCATCTTTGCAGTTCACGAAACTTAAAACACTGTTAACAAGCAAGAAACTTACATGATACATTACATTAGGATTTTCCTTTGCCACAGCACCTTGAGCTAATAAAAATTCTTTTTGCAGTGGGGGGGGGGCAAACTTCAGGTTTCTCTCTATATCTTTTTTCTTGGCTGCAGGACAACAGGGTACACATTGGGCCAAAAATGGAGATTCGGGTTGTAACTCTGGGATTAGACGGAGCTGGCAAGACAACCATTTTATTTAAGCTGAAGCAGGATGAATTCATGCAACCTATTCCAACAATAGGCAAGTGATGTTGATTTTGGAACCTGTGAAATGTTATATAAATCCTTTGTCAGAAGTGTGGTTAAAAGGCCCTTCCTTTCCACCCTCCTTTAGGTTTTAATGTTGAAACTGTAGAATATAAAAATCTGAAGTTCACTATTTGGGATGTAGGAGGTAAACACAAGCTGAGGCCTTTGTGGAAACATTATTACCTCAATACACAAGGTAAGAGTGCCATATTTCATATTTTGACTCATTGAAATCTACAATGAATAATTATGCCTATTAAAAGTAAGAAAGGGAATGTTTCCTAGGTTTATTGTCAAATGCTGTAATTCTAAACACATCTTTTTGGAAGTAAATTCCATGGAAATCAATGGGTATTGCGTTTCAAGGCACAACAATTCAGGGGTCTGACTGCTAGACGACATTTTAATTTCTTCAGTTTTGGTCTCTGTGACGAGTGACTTGCATTTACTTTCAGATTTGATCTTTGGCTTTGCTTCAGGCTGATACAGTTTAGAAAGTTGTACAGTGCAGTTTATTTCAGTAAAGAAAATGGTTCAGTTGCTAGTTTGTAGTAAGTAAACAATTTCTGGAAAATATGTATAGACTTCAGATTTAGTATACAGTGGTGCCCCGCAAGACGAACGCCTCGCAAGACGGAAAACCCGCTAGACGAAAGGGTTTTCCGTTTTGGAGGCGCTTCGCAAAACAAATTTCCCTATGGGCTTCCTTCGCAAGACGAAAGCCCATAGGGAAATCTCCGGGACAGCGGGGAAGCGTCTTCCCCACTGTCCTCGGACCTCCTCCGAAGGCTGGCGGCGGGCGGAGAGACCTCCTCCCGCCGCCAGCCTTCGTTTCTCCGCTGTCCCGGACGGCTTTAGAAGGCAGGTGGGGGGGAGCATAGACTTTCGCCCCCCGCCCGCCTTCAGAAGAGGTCCTGGACCTCTTCTGAAGGCCAGCGGGGGGCAAAAGTCTTTGCTCCCCCCTGCCTGCCTTTCCGGGAGAGCGGAGAAACACAGCGTGTTTCTCCGCTGTCCCGGACGGCTTTTGAAGGCAGGCGGGGGGGAGCAAAGACTTTCGCACCCCGCCCGCCTTCAGAAGAGGTCCTGGACCTCTTCTGAAGGCTGGCGGGGGGCGAAAGTCTTTGCTCCCCCCTGCCTGCCTTCCCGGGGGCTTTTAAATCGCCCCGGGACAGCGGAGAAGTCCCCCGCTGTCCCGGGGCTTTTTAAAATGCTGGCGGGCGGCAGCGGAGGCTTCGCTCCCGCCTGCCAGCATTTTAAGATCGCCCCGGACAGCGGAGAAGTCCCCCGCTGTCCCGGGGTTTTTTTAAATGCTGGGGGTGGGAAGAAAAGCCCTTGGTCCCCCCCCCAGCCTTCAGAAGAGGTCGGGGGACAGACTGTCCCCGGACCTGGTCTGAAGTCGGTTTCCATAGGAACGCATTAATTGATTTTCAATGCATTCCTATGGGAAACCGTGCTTCGCAAGACGGAAAAATCGCAAGACGACAAAACTTGCGGAACGAATTAATTTCGTCTTGCGAGGCACCACTGTATAGGGCTGGAGTCTTTCCCCTGTTTCCTAAGTTATAATATCTGCATATGTAATGAAAATGTATAGCAAAATGTAGCTGCATAATTGTTCTCTTCCTGTAGCGGTGGTGTTTGTTATTGATAGCAGCCACAGAGACAGGGTCAGTGAAGCACACAATGAACTTGCCAAACTGTTAACGGAAAAGGAGTTGCGAGATGCTTTGCTGCTGATCTTTGCCAATAAGCAGGTATTGTGGTCCTTTTTTTAGTTTCCTCATTTGTCTCAATTTAAGTGTGAAGTTAAGTATGGAAACAAAATTTAAAAAGCTTATATTAATTGTAATGTTTCCTCTGATAAACTGTTAATTTAGCTGAAAATAAAATAAAACCCCAACCTTCTTAACAGTCTGTTTTGGGTCTTCTATTAATTTCCAAAATCTTGCAGATAGAGTTCTAGCCACGTTTCTTAAAAACATAATTGGTACTTGAATACTTGTGAAGATTTAAATATATTTAACAAAATTCTGTAGGTTTTGGCACTGACTTTAATTTTCAATCTGCCGCATTCATAAGGTAAGATTACTAATTCTTAAGTTACTGTCTATACATTTAAGTATATGGTTGTTGTTTGCAGGATGTGGCAGGGGCACTTTCCGTAGAAGAGGTCACAGAATTGCTGAGTCTGCACAAACTCTGCTGTGGTCGGAGCTGGTACATTCAAGGGTGTGATGCCAGAAGTGGCATGGGACTGTATGAAGGACTGGATTGGCTCTCGAGACACCTGGTAGCCGCAGGTGTGCTGGATGTCGCATAAGGTCCTCTTGAGAAGCGTTAAGCTTGAAGATCACTTAATTTATTTGTGTGACTTGAGATGGTCAAACACGAACTTTTCATCTAAGGCTATGTATTCTAAAGAAAACAACTAACATTTTTGCTGGAATGCTTATTGGAGTGTGGTACAGTGAGTGTGTAATTCCTGTAAATTATGGTAATTTAATAGTGGTGTGGTGGATTTGCAAGAAAGGTGCCTTGGTGTTGTTGTTTTTTTAAGAAATGAGATTTGAAAGGTCTTACACTTCCCTATTAAGCAACTAATTTATCTTCTCACAAGTACTTTAGGAACTTAGCATTTATTTGACCTTGCTCCTTTCAGAGTTGGCCTTGCTGCATTCGCTTTTTCTCAGATCTCACTTGGGCACGCAGGCACACACAAGCCACTTCTTGATAAAAAGAAAAATGAAGTAGACATGGTGCCGGGTTGGGCATAGAGCCTATGTACTTGTAGATGTGTGTGCATTTCGTCTGGGTACCTTGTGTAGCTTGCAGATGTGAGAGTGTGGAATGGGCACACCTACCAGCGGCAAGTGGTCCTTGGAGTTGGTGAATGCTGCCATCAGGCCAAAAGACCTTTGCCATCGTTACTCTATAGCTCCAAATATTTCCTCCCCCCCACCCCCCGAAGCTACTGCAACCAAACTCCTTCAAAGTTTCATTGTCGTTTTCCTCCTTCATCTTCCATTTTAGAGGAAAAAACATCACCTTGCAGAAGGATTAGCAGTAATGGATGCTGGAGTTTCTCATGCTTCTCTTGGGCCCGGGTTAATGGCCGGTCAGGTCTCCAGCAATCCAAGTGTAGACCTAAATGTGCCCTGGTTAAAATCTATCCTCAGTTGTACTTGTTTTGACTGAGGTTGTAAGTGGATGTTGCCTAAATATACATTTTTAGTGACTTTTGGGGGGAAATTTATTTTAATCAGCTTCATAAAATCCTCCTTTCCCTCCTTCATTTCCCTCCATATGTACATTGTGCCATGCAGGCAACTTCTGATCTGGTGGTACATGATTACATACCCCTCTTTCCATAAGATCAGTAATGGTTTATTTTCAGTTCTTGATGGGAAATCATGTACAGTTTTGGAAAGCCGAAGTACCTCTCTTGCAACTCCCTATATAAGAAACATTGAAGCACAATTACACTGTCACAGTGGCTGCACTTTTACTCAAATCTGGGGTAAGCTTTGCCTTCAAAACTTCTTTTCAGCTACAGTTCTAAGGTGGATAGGCTTGTATATATATTTTCTAACGTCAGAGGATCTGTGAATGGGGAAAGCTCTGTAACAAGGATCTGTAGCAGTTTATCTCATTAGCCTTAATCAGTTTATCACTTGGTTAGCTGCTTGAGCACATTGTGTTTTGCAGGTCTGTGAAATATTTAACCCAATTACATGAAGACATCAGTTGTTAGCATTTGGATTCATCCTTTTGGACATTCAGTCCACTGAGGAAAGAGGATGTGTGTCTTTGACAGGAAACTCGAGTTACAGGACCCAAGTTGTGTAACATACATCTGGATAACCTTCTGCAGATACACCAATGGAGGAATTGTGTGGAGCTGTGTGAGGAAGTTCCCTGTATATTATACCATGAAGAGGGCATGTATGTGGTTGAGTAAAAGTTCAGAGTTCAAATGCTGATTCCACGTTGCTGTGGTCACTAGTCCCCAGGCTGCAGCAGGCAGGGCTGAGGCAGGCAAATTTGACTGCTGGTCCTGGCCTAAAAAGGATAGTTCTGTTTTTTAAATCCAGATTCTCTCCCCAAGCAACATAGGAATTAAACTTCATACCCTTCTAATTGTGCTCTCAGCACAAGAATTTCTGCTTGCCGGACAAAATTACCCTCCCTCTCCTTCCCATGGACTGTTCCAGGGGTTTTACCAACCTTCCAGAGCAGATTCGGGGAAGGAGGGGGGAAGCTGCATTGCATTAAGCAGGAGTCCTAGTGCTAGCTTCCATTGACAAGCTGGGTTAGTTGAATCTGGCCCGTAATGTTCCTTTCAGAAACCCTTTGAGTAGACTGTTTTCCCTATGTTGGTTCTAGATAACACAACTAAAATTAGATCATTATAACTAGTAATTAGATAATCCACATGCAACATGTGTTTACTTCAACTAGAGGTCTGTTCAAACCTTAATCCTGAAATGGTTGAACGTGTTGCTTTTTGTAACCAGCTATACACATTGAGGGATGCAGCGCAAGACCATGCATAGGTTTTTTTTGGGGGGGGGGAGATTAAGTTGCACTGTGTCCAGTGAGGCCTGTTCCTGTGTAATTGAATGCAGGATTGCAGAACTACCTTTCCAACCTTTCTGATGAAATGTTCCTGGTAAGCTGATCTAGAAAAATGTTACTAAGGGCCCTCAAATTCTTTACAAGTATAAGACTCCAAAGTGTCTGAATACCTTGAAAGCTTCATGCAGTGTTCAGTTAGGAAGGAATATTGCATATAGTAGGCTGCCACAAATTCTAGGTCTGATTTGAAGCATGAGAATTCTGCTACATAGCTGAGATACAGTTGTTGCCATGATGCAGTTCCTTTCTCTTCTGGCTCTTCTAGATGAAGCAGATACTTACAACCACTCTCACTTTAACTAAAATCTTGTTTGCTGAATCCTGCTTTGTTACAACAAGTGGCTATCACTGCCCATACAAGAGACCTTTACCCTCAAGGAACTTTCCTCTGCCTCAATGAATAACCTCTTCACAGCATACCACAAACCTAGACTGGATGCATTTATGTGCAAGGCCTAGCTGTGTGTGTTTGAAATAATTTGGAGACTTTTGACTGCATTTCAGTGAGGCCAGGCTTTCACTTATTTATACCCTTTTTATTTTTCAACACTATTCAAATGCATGACAACACGTGATAATGCAGCGGTTGGGAAGGGTAAATGTGAATTGTTCTTCTGTGGCTTTAATTGCTGTAGCGTTATTGTTCTGGGCTCTCCTTGTAAAACACTCAAGATGTTTTAGGACATTGGATAAATACTTGTTTTTCAAAAACCTGTTTGTTCCTGTCAAGCTCTACTATAAATGTAGTGGGCTTGCATTGAAAGTATTGAAATCCACTTAAGTGACTGTGAACATAAATGTTGCATTTGTTTGAATTCAAACAATTACCAGATAAAATTTTAGCTGCTTGTTTGTACTGTATATAACAATTTCAGCTATAAACTTCAAGCTTGTTTCATATGATGTTGAGCTTCAACTCAGTTTAGTATACTGATATGTGCTAGTTTTTAAGAAGTGTTTCAACTCCAAGGAGATTTTTAAAGGTTAGCATAAAAGCTGTATTAAGAACAGACAGTTTGTAAAACAATTGGGTCATAGTCTAGTTTTAACTGTGAAACTAAAACGCAACATTCAGTGACAAATAAGTGACAATATTAACGTATTGCTTTAAAAAATAACGTATTAATGTATAGGGCTTCATTCCTTGACATACTCCAGCTTTTAACTGTATGTAATGAATTCTTTTCTAATTGTGAATTGGGAGTGGATGGAAGTACTGAGAGGGGTTATAGCACCAAGAATTCCATGTTCTGGGGCTACACAAGGTATAAAATAGCTCACAAAACAATGTTGGATTAAAAAAAATTGATGGTGTGATTTTAAAATGACCCCCTAACAATAAAAATTCTCTAACCAGCTGGTGGAATGTGTCGTCTTTCTGAAGTCGATTTTTGCCACTTAATTTTTCTCCCCCCCCCCCCGCATCAAATAGTTATTTATGGTCAACCAAGAAAGTGAATAATGAGTGAATGTGTCTGGATGTTGGATGGCTTATATTTGTAAGTGGGAGTGGGGAGTTTCAAATGAATGCTAAGTGTCTCCTGCCATTCTTTATAGATGTTAGCTCGCATAAGAATGTGGTCAAAACAAATGACACATGTGTGCATGTTCAGAGGTTGACCTCAGTTAGTCTTGGGGCACAGAATGAAGGTGATGAGTGTAAGGAAACTGGCCGATATATGCATGATAGCCTGCAGTCTGAAGCTAGCACATAAAATTGAAACCAGAAGCCGGTGGAGGTGCCTAGGTAATGCTGGCAAATGACACTGTTCTCATAATTCCAGGGATTACTGAAGCAAGGTTTTCTTGGGACAACCCCTGAAAGCAATGAAGAGGATTACAGGGCTTAAGTAAAGTGGGATGGTTCTCATCCTCCTTCCCCTCTCTGGGTTCCCCTTCTGCCCTTCCTCAACACAGCTATTTAGCATCACTTGCACTTCTAAGAAACTGCAAGTTGCAGGAACCACTTCCTCATTAGTGCCATCTAGTGCAGAGAGAGAGATTGTTCCTTCTGCCCCGTCCCATCCCCCAAGTTCTTCAACGAACCCACACTGAAGCAACAGTTTTGCTTTTCTCCTGCAGACAGACTGAAGGGATTCCACCCCATGAAGGAGGGAAACTGATGGATGGAAGTAGGCAATTATCTGGCAGTGGTTTACCAGAAGGTGTCGCAAGGTTATGCACCTTTGCTGCCTCCCAAATTGGAACGTACACACCCTGCAACCATCTGCCAGGGGAAAAAAGATGAACTTTTCCCATTCTTGCTCAGATTTCAAGAACAATGGATTAAGAAAGGGACAAATCACTATAATCCTTTTATAACAATTCCACTCAAAACCTGAATGATACCTATTTAGTATTAGCAATTATCAGCGGCTCAAATTATCACTTGTTTTGTATGTTATTTAGTATAAAGAAAATCTTATTGTCAAGAATGCACAGTAATGATTATGGTTACATGTTGTATTTGCAATTAAATACATTTAAAACCCTAAAAAAACCCATTCTATTTTGTGGGTAATGAGTTGGCAGAAACAAAAATATTTCAGTGCTGGAATAGAGCTTCTCGCAATGCAGCATTTTTCCATAATAAAAACCATTGCAATAAATACACAAGATGCATATTTTTCTTAACATGGCTGGCTTTTATTTTTTGTATAAAAAACATTTTTAAAAAAGATACAGCTGAGAGCACCTCGGACACATAATGATTAGAAAGTTTCAGAACAGGTATCAACCTTTCCGCAGCAGAAAAACATACGAGGTGCATCATTTTTGAAGTCCCTTAATTGCAAGGTTTCTTTAAAACCCTATTTCATTTCACTGTGATATTAATAATGCTGACATCTTCATAGGGCTTGTCAGTTTTGGGGTTGACTTTCACATTTGAAATTCTCTGAACGACTTCCATTCCTTTAGATACTCTTCCAAATACACTGTGTTTGTTGTCCAGCCATGGCTGTGCAAGGCCATGTATCAAGTTGACGCAGCAAAAGAAAGAGAAAATTATGATTAAATCTCAAGTTACTATACTGAGAACTGTGTAATGTAAACTATTGCTAACGGGATCTCTGTAATTAAACACTATTACACTTAATGCTTGTTTGTTTGCTCACTTGTTTAACTCTCCAATCCAAAAGGCTGCATGTGTGCGGAAGCCGTTTCCGCAGACATATCCCAAGCTGGATAATGAACCATAATCACAAAACTGGTACTGCCTTTACAGTTTCTGTGCACACATTAGGTTGTGGACAAGTTTTGATCATTTGGTGGGGGGTGGGGTAGGAGAACTAAATCCTCCTACCTTCTCACCAAACAGATTATTTAAGCTATTTAAATTAAATATGTGTATCCCCCTTTCCAATCTAGTGGTTCACAAGGCAGCATATAACATAACAATAATATGAAACAGATAACTCATCTCTTGATGGTAAGCAGCCAGGAGAGCAGCTGGATAGTAGGTTTGATGTTAAAACCTCTCCCCATGTCTCTGTTATCCTGCCAGAGGATAACAGAGGGGGGTGGGAGAGACCAGACCTAGAAAGTTTCCTGCCCAGCCACACTGGATGCAAGTCATTCAGGGATGAGGCCCATCTAGTGGAAGAAAGACAAGTGTTGGACTTGGCCCAGGGACCCCTGCCTTCAGATAGAAACTCAGCCTTGAACTGCAGTGCACTTTGGGTCAATCACTATCTTTCAGTCCTGGCTTCCCGATCTGGTAGTAGCAAGAATAAAACAGATAGGATGTCACAAGCACCTCAGAAGAAGGGCAAGATATGTTTTTAATTTTAAAAAAGTAATCAGATTAGAGCTGTGTTACAGAGCACTACTCCATTTGGACTTTTCAGCCAGTGTCTGCAGAGGAACGTAGGGGTTTGCTAATAGCCAGCATCTCTTAACTTGACATATGGAAGGACGCACCCTATACAACAATGTGCCTCCTTGCTGTTCTCATAAGCCCAGCAGAAGGGTAGGGGCTCATTCCTGCAATTGTGGTAAGCTTTGGAAGCATCACAGTATAACCAAACTCAATGCCTCCAAGTGCTCTCCAAGCCCAATTCCACGTCAGAGAAGACCCTGCTACTCTTGAGTTGGGAGATAAGGCAGAGCATATAGTAACAAATTCTAGCTGGCTGTCAAGGGCAGAAAAAGACGCTGGGTCTCTTAAGAAGCATTCAATCATGGGTGCTCCCACCCACAACTGAAATGGTACAGGCCACGTACAGGCTTATTACCTCATCTGTTCAGGGAAACAAAGTATAACAATAATTTTTTCTGCAGCTAATGTAATATGGTGGCTGCCTTCAGCTCCTTCCCCTATAACCACGAAGTAGACTAGGGACGGGAAACGTGGTTTATCAGTTACAGGACTATAACTTGCATTGCATGGCCTGCATGATCAATAGTCATAAGATGACAAGAGCTGTAGTTCAACAACATCTGGAAGTCCATAGGCTTCCTCATCCTTACAGTAGTCAACAGACACAACGGAATACCCTTCCATCTACCAACAGCCTCAAAACTTTTGCTACTCACAAAGAGGCAATTCAATGACCACTGTTAAGACATCTGACATGGTACTTACAGTTGGTACTACTGTTACAAAAAACTGTGAGCCGTTGGTATTTGGTCCTGCATTAGCCATACTAAGTGTGTAGGGCCTGTCATGTCGCAAAGTTGAGTGAAATTCGTCCTCAAATTCTCCTCCCCAGATACTTTCACCTCCCATTCCGGTTCCAGTAGGATCTCCAGTTTGGATCATGAAGCCCTACGTTTGGAAGGGGAGAAAGAAAAATCACAATTTAGGACATTAGCAGCCCTGCTGGATTAATCACAGTCTAACATCCTGCTTAAAATGGTGGCTAAATGAGATGCCTCCAGAAAGCCCACAAGCAGGACTGCAAGACAACAGCCTTCTCCTGCTGCTGTTTCCAGAACTGATACTCAGAGCATACAGCCTCTGAACCAGGAAGTACCATACTGCCATCAGGACCAGCATCCATAGATGTAGCCTTATCCTCTGTGAATGTGTCAAATCCCTTTTTAAAGCCTAGTGCCATTACCACATCTCATGGCAACAAATTTTGAAAATTAATTATGTACTGTGTGAAGTACTTTTTTTGGTCTGACTCAAATCTACTATTAACTAGTGTCATTAAGAGATCCAAATTTCAGTTTTACCAGGAAAGGAGAAAAAAAATTCTATCCATTTTATCTACAGTGGTGACGCCACTGTATCCCATAGATTGATATGCTGTGATTACAGTTTTGGAATTCTGCACAAAATCCTTCAGAAATGCAAATGCAAAATCCACAAGTAGGGTAGGACTTAATAATAAGATGTGCATAAGCCACTATGGGACAGGAAAAATTTAAGATATTGCAGCCCTGTTTATCTAACAAGCTCAACAACAATTGAGAACACAGAAATATTGTTACTAATACCAAAGTTACCTTGATTATGCGGTGAAAGGTGTGGCCATTGTAGTAGCCATTCCTACTATGTACACAGAAGTTTTCCACTGTTTTGGGACACCTGCAGTTAAAAGGTATTAGGTGTTAGTATAGTACTTAGCGCACTGGAACAGGGTAATATTTTGAATTAGTCCGTATTTGTAGATGCTCTAGTGAAACTGAGAGCATTTGACTGCAACTATCGATATCCATAAAGAACTAGGGCCACCTGGCAGATCATTGAGTAGGAAGACAACTCTTCATTCACGATTACATTCTGTGAATCATTTTGCATATTACAAATTAAAATTGCCTTCTTGTTATGGAGAAATGAAAAGCTTACAAGCTTCTTCCCTTTATCACAATGTAGGAGAAAGCAGTAGTGGTAAAAATGCTTTACCAGAGCAAAAATGGTGGTACCATAGATATGAGGGAATGGAACATAAGCAAACCAAGGGAAAAGGTGCAGCTCTGTCAATGGTGCTAGTGAATGGTCCAACAGCAGCTCAAGATAATGAGAATCTTTATTAAAAATGGAAGGAAATATAAAAGTATTCATATACATACTCAACAGGGAAAAGCTTGACATGTATATCTCCCATGCTTGTGTGGATAATGGCACTATCAGAAACTCGCTTGGGCCCTTCAGCTTGAGTGGCTGCCATGACCTCTTCTTTAGATGGCTTCTCATTAAATACATCTCTGTCAGAATCTGCACTTTTGGTGTCTTCTGGTTCACGTTTGGTAAACTGAAGGACAAGATAGCAGCATCCTTGTTTCTCTTATTGACTAATGGAATTGGAAGGATCATACACTGTAGTTTCAAAGACATATTGTTCCTAACTAGTGATAGGCTGTAGTTTGCAAACTGCTTCTGGTCCTATGCCAAGTGAAAAGAATTG